CCCCAAAACCCCAAAACCCCAAAACCCCAAAACCCCATTCTATAAAAATTAAATTGAATAAAAGATGTCCTTTAGTGGTCAATACGAAGTTGTGTATAAGAAAGATCGTAATAGACAGCACCAGCAGGCCAAAAACCTACAGTAAATTTAATAAAGTTGATAAGGTACAGCAATAAAGACGTAAATGATGAGGTATCTGATCAGGAATATTTAAAAAGAAACTATCAACATCATAAGGCGAAGCAGAAGGTTGAGCATAGTCCGAAGCAAGCCTACAATAGAACCGACAAGGAAAAAGTAATTCATTTAGTCCAGTTGTTTGTTCTCAATGCCATGCAAAGGTTCAACTTTTATGTGATGGATTTTGGGCTTCTTAGAAATGAAGCTGGTTTTTATATAAGTTAATCAAGATTTCGTTTTATAAAGTAGGAAGTCTAAATTTCAGTCATCAATATTTAAGATGAAAAGTTCTGAATTTTAAGGATATATTTTCATAAATTTTAACGTCTCTTTATAATTTTCTTGTAAAATATTTATTTGAATCATTAATAAACCTTGGGAATATATAAAGGTATTGTAAAGAGCTTAAAAGCCTGCGATCGAAATTTTCTTCTTTTCATAAAAATTCTTCGCATCAAACTTAATTGTTGCCCAGTAATCAAAGTATTTGTTATTTTTGTGTTTATGATATTTATCAATTTTAAGAAGTTCAATCATAAGTTAAATTCTTAGTAACAATTTTGATTAACTTAGAGAAAATATTTAATCAATGTTTGATAAGTTATCTCTAGTGCAGCGCAAGAGAATCCTCGGTGAAAAACCGTAAGCGATGGCAAAAATAAGGACAAAAGATCATTGAATAACTCTAAACTTGGAATTTTTTCAGACAATTGAACTCAGAATCATATTGGAAGCAAAGAAGCTTCTACAAGTTTCAGAGACCAGAGAAACAACAAGAAGAATGCGATATTTAGCTCTCAAGATAGTTTTGATCCCTGCAGTACAATGAAGGCCCACCAACAGAGGTATTTTCATGAATCGAAATTCGAAAATTTTAAATATTCTCAAAATTAGCTTTCTTACTAGTATTTAAGAGTAAAAAGTAATTATCTTTGTAGAAAAGATCAGCACTCAAAATGATACCCTGGCAATAGTAGACAAAAGGTGAATAACGAGCAGGAATTCCACCATATCATGACTCAGAGAAATATCAGGGACAAAAATGCTGACTTTTCTCGTAGAAGCCGTAAACTTCGAGCCAATAAAGCTAAACGGGAATATGGAAAAGATAGCAATAAACGTCATGATATTTTATTTGAGACTTTTGATGAAACTTCAAGGATTTCAAGTGAGATCCAAAATTCACTGGTCATTATTCAACAAGCCAAAGCCCAGAATGAGAAGTATTCAGTAAACAGGTCTATTGAAAGAGTACCTGGCAGTCAGGTCAGAAATAACCTTACTCAAGTGAGCAAGAAAGAGAGTTATACACAGAAATATAAGCATAATCTTAGAAAAGAAGGGATGAAGGATACTGAATATAGGGCTACAATGCCAGAAACCTTCTCTTGTAAGCCTGAAAACTTTTCACAAACTCAAAAGTTAAGAAATGATGCTCAGAAGACCAACTCAGGGAATACCACTCTTGAGCGACAGTCTTCAACTGGGATGCTTGAGAATATGGTTTCAGGAAGAATCTCAAACCGAAATCACTTTAATAGAGATATGTCTGTGATCAAAGAAGGGGCCCAGAATAGGAGTCATTCACAGATAGGAGGTGTGAAGAAGAAAACATTTCGGCACCAAAATATGCAGATACCTAAGGCTTCAAACAAGATGATAAGTGCGAGTCCTGCTTCTAATTTTATGAGTTCCAGAGATAAACCTCAAACTCATAAGAAGTACGTCCAAAAACCTGTGCACAAAGTTCTTAACAATCTAATGGAAGAAGAGGAAGATGAGGAAATTATTATGAAAATGCTAAATGACAGGAAGAAAGAACTCTTCAATGTCAAAAGAGTTAAGCAAGACAGGATGGAACTTCAGAGGGACTCTTTTGAAGGCCGGTTTGTTAAGCAATACCATAGAGACAAACAAAGATTTCATGATGTGAATAAGTCCAGGAAAAGATTGAAAAGTCCAGCCGCTGAAAAGCTAAGTAAAGATAAGATCAAGCGCATCAGACAACAGTCTTCTGTCGCAGAGAGAAAATATAGAGAAAAACTAGATGCTGTTAAATTAATCCAGAAATGTTGGAGAAAGCATAGGCATGGGACAATAAAGCAGCTTGAGAATAAAGCTGAGAAAGTGTTGCAAGAGGATGTAGCGAATGACCTTGAAAATCTAGATTCCTACGATGATGTTATTGTTGAAGCTGACTCTATTCAAATCCCAATTGTTAAACATGATGCTCCAGGAAGGCATTTTGATAGCGCCTTTGAGACTAGGAAAAGAGTAGCACCGGAAATCTCCTCTTATGCAAAAGAAAAACTACTAGGTAAATTTAATTAATAAAAGTATAGCCCTTTTTAAAGGATGGAAGACAAGAAGAATTCTTAGAAATCAGCATTTGAAAGAACTTAAAGTAGAAATTGGATACATGTTGAAGCTCAAGAAAAACGATCTTAACGAAAGAGAACTTAAGCATTGAAGAGCAGAGTTTTCGAGAATTGCTAATAAATTTTGAACTATTTTTCTCAGGTTATCAGCCAATAAAGAGTGGATTAAGAAGTATAATATAAACTTTAAAAGGAATAACAGTGTTACAAGAAACAGATCTGAGTCTGCGCAGCATAGTAATCAATCAAATTTTAGACCTGTGTTTGATATTAGTCAGAATAATCAATCGAAACAGCAAACTGAAATGAGCTCTCTTCCCTCTAAAATTCAAGACAATAAATTATCAACGAAGAAATCAAGAAATCCTGAGAATGAAAATAATCAAAATGGTGCAAAAACTGTAAAAAGTACAATTTTGCAGCAAAATAAAGAAGAAGTATCTAATCCAGTTTATGCCAATGATGATACACAAATCAATAAAGATAGGACTAATATGTTTGAGGATATTGGAAAACAAAAGATGAGTCAAAGAAATAGAGATTATAGCACTCCCAGTATTAGACTCAATAATAATCTTGCAAAAGCAAATATTATAGATAATTATAGACATGCTCCTATATCACCTCGAAATAATTTTGATAACCAAAATCAACTATTCCAGCCAGAGGTTAGGAATAAAATGGAAAAATCTCCTTCTATGCAATTAAATTATCCTCAAATGTCACCTGCCCCTGTAGCCTATAATCCACAAATTTATCCAGGTTATCAAAATTTCTCTCAAGCTCAAGCTAACTATAATCAACCTCAATTAAATATCCATCAGCCATCAATGGGAGTACCTCAGCAACAAATGGGTGTCCCTCAAGCTCATTTAGGAGTTCACCAACCCCAATTTAATATGCCTCAAACTCATATGGGACCTATTCCAAATCAGATAGGAATTGCACAAAATCAAATTGGAATGCATCCCCAAATAATGCAGCCTGTTTATCAGTATCAAGGGGCTCATAATCCAATTTACATTATTTATCAAGGACAGCCTGTAATCAGGGATGAAATTAATGTTTCGAATGAGCCTTTCTCAAGACCATTGGTATCAAATTCTCATGAAGAACCTGTTCTTTACCGTCCTAGCCCTCAGCCAGAATCGGTCCATAGTCAAAATTTGTCACAACCTCCTCCAAAGCCTTTAAAGTCTCCAAATAATTTCTCAGCTGATGAGTCTTTCCAAAGGCCAGCCCATGTTCCCACAGAGAAGTACCATACTGCAAAACAGGAGCCTAAGCTATCTAAAAAGGAAGAATTAAGCTTCATGGATACATTTCCTTCACAGAAAAACCCTGAAGCCGAGATTTCACCTAAAAACTACTTGGACGACAGACCGATAAAGCCTCAGAAGCCAGCTTCATTTGGGAAGCCAACCTCCCTTGCTACTATTCCTGAAAAGAGGAAGAATAAGTCTTCTAATCAGAAGACTTATTTGAAGAAGAAAAAGGTTTATGATCCTAAAGAGTCTATTAAGAAAGAGATGGAATATAAGAAAAAAGTTAAAGAGGAGAGAAAGAAGTTCTTGACAGGTACCAAATCAGCTTCTGCTTGTCAGAAAGTTTCTACTGTTAACAAGCCAAGTATCCATAGGATTGCACCTGCATTTGACGGTTCAAAAGCTTTAAATAAACCTCCAGTCAGGAATAATCAACCTCCTGCGAATAGCTTTGCTAATATGAACAAAGAACAGAGAGTGCAGAAGATTTCCCAGCTTTTGAGAGGAAAAAGATCTTAAAATATTTCTATTTTTGAGATTGAAATAGGGGTTTTGGGGTTTTGGGGTTTTGGGGTTTTGGGG